CGGTCGCGCGAATGGTCGCCAGTCGCTAGCGACCGGTCGTGGACTATGAAAGATGCCATTAGCGTTCATACTATGAGAATTGCATCGATTTTGAACTTGAATGGTCGATACTTCATAATTATTTAATGTTTGTGCTGCGGATATCTACAGAGTTATGACGAATGTACGATTACACACAAACAACTCGACAATAATTAATCCTTCTCTCTTGTCGATCGTTCTTTATCTTCTTTTGGTGCCTTTGACTTATGTCGTTTTTTTGGTTTCACGGTTACTGTGACACTAACCTGAAAAATAAGATTCGATGGCGAAAATAGAAGAGGCAGGGCCATTCATTTCGAGGTGTCGTCTGCGCTCTCTCTCCAAAGTATATCCTAGAGCCCTATCCAATTCATTCCCATTTCTTGTGTGTGATCAGAGCCTTACCCATCTTTGATTAGTCTTCCTCTCGAGCTTAGGCAAAACTGCCCATGATTTTGACTCGGAAACATTTTTTGTGCTAACTCACTCTGAATATATCAACTCGGCACCCAACCCGTTGTGGCACTCTAGGCTTCACTGTGGGAGGCGCCGAGCACAATGGACTGATTTGGCAGCTCCAATTTCATTTACACCAGCTTTGCTTTCTGCGAGCGTTTCATGAAATGGGTATGGGTACAAACGTGCGTCCGAGGATGTGCGCGGCAATGTTGCGCGGCGAAATTCGTGATGACCCAAACGAATTTAGTGCCTACCATTGAGGCCCATATTTGGAGTAGAGTAGATTAGTAGGATCAGCTGACCATACTAATCTACTATAATTCAAATTTGGGCCCAAATGGTAGGCGCCAGGGTCATTCGACTCACCACGCACTTCGCCGCGCAACGTTGCCGCGCATAATCTCGGATGCACGTAAGTTCCCCCTCATGAAATGATACTAGTGGGACTCCGCCCATTATGGAGGACTCCGCTCATTTGATTGGAATGAGCCATTCTTTTCTGCATAATTGATCCCCAGGTACTGGAACACACGAACTCCCGGTTTGAACGACCTCGAATTTTGCCTCTCAAAATGTTGAGAGTCAAAAGATTGAATTTTTTTGCCATTATGACTCAAACTTAGGCAAAATCCTTTTCGACTGAAAGTACTTTCTAATTATTGCCATTTCGCCGTAGTACGTGATGCGTAAGTCTCACAAATATGGCGAGGGGCAGAACTTCGGCCTTGAACGGTACTCGAACTCGTACTTGTAGTTCTCCCGACATTTGAAAACTCTATAGCTAACGTTCACACTAGCCACATCGAATTGGCTGCCCACACTGCTTTCTATAACATGAAAATCGTTAGTCACAACTTGCACCATAATCATGATTCGCTCCACTTTCTCCACTTTCTCTTACGCTCCTAGGGGAGATCAGAAACGCTAACATGTTGGGTGGCTAGGCTTCAAGTCCCTCGTCGTTTGCCGCGATTTCGCCGCGCAAGTATCGCGCAAGTATCGCGCGGCGCATCATCATCTCGAGATTGCGTTGCAGTATTATGCAAGGCTTCGGTTTGAATTACTTTCCCGCGCACGACTATTCGGATGCAACTTCGAGAGTGCGTAATTGGGGAATGAATGAGATTTGCTTGAAGAAGCAAGGAGGAAAGAAAAAAGGGGTTGTCGACTTCACGCTCCAAGAAGAAACAGAGATAAAAAATGAAGTAGCAAGGTGGTGTGTTGAAGGAGATTACATCCTAAAAGCGTGTAGAGTGTGTAGTGGTGCAGTATCACTAAATGCCAGAGAGGAGCAGGTATATATATATATATATATATATATATATATATATATATATATATATATATAT